CAGGCAGGCAGGTTCCATTTAGCAGCTTCCACTGGTGTCTGTGTGTGTGATGGAGCTACTTGCAGGAGGGCCTTGAACCTTCTAAGATTGGCTTCAAGCTCTCCAAATAAGACTGTTGCATAACTAAAACAAAATGTTTGCTATGTAAACACAGCTTCAGTTTCAATCTCCTTTCCACCTCTTTGTTTTCCCTACAGACATATATTTCTCTCTATATAAAAGCCTGAGATCTCTCTGTTGGATAGTGATCTATTATTACTGGTATGTATTTTGTGCCCTTCAATATTGTAACATTGAAAATATGGTCATTCATGAGCAAGTACACAGGGAGACATGTCAAATTTCAAGCTCCTGATGGAGTCATAGTTTATGTATCACGTGCATCATAATGAACACTGCAGGTGCAAATGGTGAGTTCAAGAACTCCAATGTTTTCCTAGTGTAATGTGGACAAGAAGTGAGACCACTTAGTCCACAATGAAAATGTAGAAGATTTCATTGAGCGAAAAGTGGTGATGCTCCAGGATCACACCTGGAGTCAAGAATCCCAGGAAACGGCCCGAGTGTCAGTCCACATTGGCTTTTAAGCATTTTTGGCTAGGGTTGTGAAAAGGGGGTGGGGGGGGGAGATTGGGTGTTGGTTTTAGCCAATGATTGTTACAAGAAATTCGCACCTTAAGTTTAAATTTCCCACCTAGGTTTTGCTGGCTCGAGGCTGGGGAATAGAACTAAGGGTGGTGATAGCTCAGCTGGGTTAGGGCATGCATTGTTCAGAAAACAGCAGAAACAGAGTTCCAGAAGCTAAAATTGCTAGTTAGTTAGTTAGTCTTATTCACAGAAAGCATACTTACATTTATAACTTAAAATCATTCATTATCCATTTTATACAATCCAAGTCAAATATTGTATCCCATCCTTACTTCCTCCTCCATATCACTAAACTTACAATCTGGTTTTCTATTTTGCATGTCACAGCTCGCAGAGATAACCTGTGCATTGCTAACCATTGTACAGTTAGATTTAACTTTTGCATATTTAAAATGTTTGAATATTAAGTTAATTGATTTGTAAACTCTGTGTCTCCGTTGGAATTAGAGCAGAGAAATTCCATGGGAGTAACTGTTTACAGATTGTTAAAAAAAATTCCTCAGGCACTGTTAGGCTGTCACATAGTGGTGGTGTGTGTGGGGGGGGGGGAGTTTCTTGAATTATAGCACAGAAACTTTAATATCTACCTCAGGAATGATAGGGGTCTTAAATAGACAGTCATATTTACTAAAGAAACCTAGAGTTTTCTTAGATTACCAACCTTAGCAAGACAAGAAATGTCAGGGTGACAGAGTTTAAGTGGCTCCTTTCAGATATATCACACTGATTCTCTATATTTAAGATGCAAAGCAGCCTTCCAGGAGCTATTTAATTAAGTGAAAGTAAGTCTAGTTCTTTTGGAACCAAATGGTTCAGTGACCAAGTACATACCAGGTAAATGAGGAAGTGGGGAGTTATTACGTGCCCCATGGACCTGCGGATACTTCATAACCCCACATCAGGGATCCTAAACACTGATTGGTTGAGGAAATTATCAAACTGAGTTTAAATTTCAGCAGGTACAACATTGTCATGCAAAATTCCAGGACAGTGTACCAGTCTCAGTCTTTCAAAGAGAAAGATAAGAAAACCTGGATTTTCAAAGTCACTTTGAAGGCTTTTAAGGTAAGATAGAACTTTCTTTAACTCAGAACCAACAATTCCTTTAGAAAGAACTTTGAGCTTCAGAGACAAAAGAAACAATTTATTTTAAACTATGAATAACTGTTTAATTAGACTTTTGTTTCCTTTTAATTTTTCATGTTGTCAATATACTAAAGGATAATAGAAAATTAAGTGGTAAACAATGTTAATGCCATTTGATAAGATTCTGCACCACAGAAGACTTAGAACTTTTTCTTTTCCACATGCTGTATGTTGTAAAAATTTCACTTGCTCATCAGAGAAAGATACATAAATTGGAGTAGATATGACTAGAATGATTTATATATAATATACTAGAGTTTTATTGTGATTTTTGCAATGATTATTCATTTATTAATATTATTAGCTGTACACAGATACTTTTGTTGAGAGACAACCTCTATTGTGATTTTTATCCAAGAAAAGAACCTTAAATCTAGTGCAAAAATTATTTTAGTTTTTAGCTTTAGCATTGCAACGTGACAGAATTTAATGGAAAAGAAGCCACATAATCTTGTCCTTTTTCAAGTAATACCAATAATGACATTAAAACAGAATCTTATTGAAGCATAAACATAGATTGGGGCATTTTTCATATCATGTCCATTTGTGTCAAAATCTCACCATTCCACAGTTTAAAGCTCCATGAGAGAAGGGCTCCTACCTGTTTCTATACTTCACTATCAGGCCTGTACTAGATCTTCAAGTATCTGTTGACTAACTGAATGATTCTCAGTTTATGCTATAAATCTCAGTCTGGAAAATTCAATTTCTGACATCTTCTATCAAACAGCACATCTATTTAGGATATCTGAGATTCTGACTTCTGTTATATGTATCTTCTGATACATTTAGACAAAAAAGTATTTAAAATTTTTTATTTAAAAGTGTTTAAAAACAAAGATAAAAATATGATAGCTGGTCACTTTATTAAGTTTTAATAAAAAATTCAGGTTCAAATCTACCTCAGGCTTTTCAAACAAGGCTTTGCTGTTCTTATTTACTTTATCTCCTTATGTTCTTGTTTAAAATTAGCCTCACAATTGTTCAACCTCATTTGGTGAAGAACATAAATAAATGATTTGAAGAGGGTCTGGAGCCCCTGGTGGTGACATTAGGGTTATTTCTACAGTGGTCCCTTAAGCTAGTTACCTTGGCAAGTGATGGCATGGCTTTGGCAGTGCTCTAGAGTGGCTCTGAGAAGCTAAAGTGGTCAGACTTCTGGGTTGCAGGGTGGAGATGTGAGGCAAGACACACAGATCCTCAGACACTGCTTTCCAGTCACAGTAATTTCTCAGGATCTCAGTGAGGATAGCCTTAAGAATCTATGTGACAGGTGGTGACTGATAAGGACAGTAGAACTACTCAAGCTGTAGCTGGCCTTTATCAGCTCTGCCCAAGAGTTGGGCATTGTCTGGACTCAGCCTCATTTTAATCTACAGCATTTTTAAAGGATATATGGATATTCTTAGCTTTCTCTGAGCAGCCATAAAGAGTAAAGGACATTTTTTGTATTTTTGTTTGCTTTTCTCAGTAGCTCTGGAACAGTGCTCTCTTCCTATGGGAAACATTAATAATTTTTATGTCATAATCATTGAGGTTTCCACATTTATCCAAAGTCATATTATGATCCACAGGATTAGAATCTAAATCAAGTGGGTGGTCCTGAAATAGGAGTAAAAAAGCTCTTCTTTTTACAGTAATAGCCTTATAACATAAAGAAAACCATGAGTTAGTAAATAGAAACTGGTATATTTGAGTCACTTAGATTATACAATACCTTTTTCAAATGTATCAAAATACATATTAGAGTCTTTCTGATTCTGCATGGTAATGAGGTGAAAGACCACATTGTCAGAAGTGCCGTGAAATAATTGTTCTCATTTATCAAGAGAGTGCCAAGCTCCAGGAAGAGGGTTGAGCATTGCTTATGCTAATCATAGTCATTCATCCACAACATTCCCAAGAGTTGGTTTTCTGTGCTTTGCATTGGAGATGATGATAACCAAAACACTTTCTTGGGCCTCTGGAGTTTGTAGTAAGGTAGAGGAACCAAGCGGTGTCAGAAGAGCACAATGTGTCCTCAGTGAGGTAAGTTGCAGGGACTGCACAGCAGTGCATGAGAAGGAGAGGGGCTGGGAAGGTGGCTCAGTGGTAGAGCGCTTGCCTTGCATGCATGAGGCCCTGGGTTCGATTCCTCAGCACCACATAAGCAGAAAAAGTCGGAAGTGGGGTTGACACTCAGGTAGTAGAGTGCTAGCCTTGAGCTGAAGAGTTGAGGGACAGCCCAGACCCAGAGTTCAGGCCCCACGACCAACCAAAAAAAAATGAGGAGAGACACCTCAAAGCTCCCATCAGATCCTCTTCATGATAGCTGGTTACTGGAATGCATCCCCATGACAGCCCAAGTGCCCTTTGGGATGGACTCAGTGAAAGTTTCTCAGAGATAATTCTTCTGTTACACCCTGGGAGATCCCTGAGGTACATTATTTTTATTATCCAAGATGGGGGAAAAAACAAGAGGCTTATAAAGCTATGTAAGACTCTCAAAGTTCACACAGTCAGTGGCACTGGTGGGATTTGAACCCAGGTCTCTGATACCAATGTTTATTCTTTCCACTAGACTAGGGTTTCTCAGTTCAGTTATTCTTCCTCTTACAGTCAAATTCCATAGATTAGAGGGGAGGATTACAAGTGCTTCATCTTTTAAGTACTCTCTTAGCAGAATTACTTAACATGATTAAAGCTATTCAGAAAAGAGGGATATGATTATCAAAGCAACAAGACATGGGCTGGGAAGGTGGCTCAGTGGTAGAGTGCTTGCCTTATATGCATGAGGCCCTGGGTTCGATTCCTCAGCACCCACATAAGCAGAAAAAGCCGAAAGTGGCTCTGTGACTCACGTGGTAGAACTGCTAGCCTTGAGCTAAAGAGCTGAGGGATAGCACCCAGGCCCAGAGTTCAAGCCCTACAACCGACAAAAAAGAGCAGCAGGACAGTTGCAGCTATGCTCTTGATACCACATTGGCACAAGCAGAAATAGAAGGAAGCTACTTCAATTCTCATCCTGGTAAAGCTCCATAAACCTTCATAACCCTGCCAGGTTTGTTGTGGAACACTGTAAATCTCCTCATGTTAAAAATATATTCCTTGCTCTAGAAAAGGGCAAACCAAAATAATGTATTACTATAGTTATCATTCTTTTCTTTATAAGCAATTTTGTGCTGTTCTTATTTTTAAACAGCCATCGATCTATGTTCTTAAGGAAAATGAAGATAATTATATACATTTGCATTTGGGCTGCTGCATGGGCTATTCCAGTAAGTATGTCTTCCTTAGCAAAACTTTGTCCTTAGTTGTCTTCACATCAAAATATGCATGCTGATGACTCCAAACATTTTGATCTCCATAAATGATTTCACAATATGTTTTTTTTATCTCAACAAAAACAAATGTGCATTTCAATTCATGTGTTCATTCTGTTAGTTGAAATGTATGCCTTCTCAGAGGATTATTTTAAAAAATGTACTCAAATGCCTGGGGGCCTCTGACTGTAATCATAGCTACTCAGGAAGCTGAGATGTAGAGAACTGAGGTTCAAGCCAGGCTGGACAGGAAAGTCTTCAAGACTTCAACTCCACTTCAGCAATATAAGGCTAAGATAAAGTGTCGGTCATGATAAAAATATCCAAAGTAATGTACATTCAATGCCAGGAAGTCATGGAGATATTGTCCATCATTCCTTCATGCCATGTAGATTTCATTTTAATAGCAATGTTGTTTAATATCGATTTTAAAGGAAGAATAATCAGAAAGATGAGGTTTTCAACATATGAAGAAACCAATGCTTCAATGAAAAGCATGGCCATTTATATGGTCATTCTGGAAGATTTGGAATACACAAGCAAACACAGATAAATATTCAGAGAATTATAACCTATTTGTCAGTTTATTAGCTACCTTCTGTGTTCAGTATTTTCCATGTGTTTTCATAATTCCAAACATTTTGGTATTTCTGTAGTTTAGAATTTTCCTACACATTCCAGGCATTTTCTTGCAGTTCCTACAGCTGATGTATTACTTCAGCTTGCTTCTGAATTATTCTTGTCACATCTGCAATTGTTTTAGGTTTTTTTTAGCCAGGATTATACTTGAAGTGGGCCCTTACTAATTCAAGAGGCTAGCTGGAACAGAACACCAAAGGTCTATCTCCTTGTCTTTATAAGGGATATTATCTATAGCTGAGATAAATGGTCTGGTCAATCAGTAACATTGGTGATAACAAAATAAAAAACATACATGTGCCATGAGGCCTATAACAAGCTGTTTCTCTTTCTACTTGACTAGGTCATCCTTTAACCTTTGTGTTCTATCTTTTCTTCTTTATGGAAAGAAAAATGTGGGTACACACATTGCACAAATGCATCAATACACATAAAAATAAGGATGTATATAATATCCACTGTTTTTATATTGGTAGGTTCCTCAAATTAAACCACTGGAGAGACATGCTGTTGAAAAATCTTTGAATTTACCTCTTCAAGCAAAATCAAAATTACCAGTACAGGTTTGAGACGTAAAATGTGTTTCCACCAATTTTCTGTTTCCAAGCTGATTTTACATCCCACTTTCTCCAAATTTCCACTCATCTTTTCAATTTGCTTTACTTTGAGATGATATTCACAATTTATTTTCAATTGTTTCTCTTTTTCAGAATGAGTTAATTGTCAATGACATCACTAAAGAAAGTGGTGGTACTCTGTACGAAAGTGAAATAGAAAGGCAACAGCATATCAAAGATGGTGACAAAGGACAGGGGAATGGCTCTGAGTGGGCAGAAGGAAGAGAAAAAAATCCTTCTACACATTTCATTTTAGCAAGTGAAGAGGGAAATCTTGAAGATGAAAATGGAGGCACAAGAACTCCAGAAACATATGGTCATGATGAGGTACATGGAAAAGGAGATACCACAGCAAATGCTATCAGGGGACAAGTGAGCATCTCCAGCAGTGTTAGAACAGTAAATGAGAGCAGAATTGATGAAAATACTGACCATATTCTAAAAGATAGGGATGGAACAGATGCAAGCCAGAATGCCACTGTTGTCCAAGAAAATAGACCACAAGTAGCTGATAGCAATAATAGTACAAACCATGAAGATAAAATAGACAGGATTGAGGGTGATCAAAATTCAACAACATCTCACACAGAAGGAGAGAGGAATGGCAATGGGAAGGCTGAGGTAATACCAGACAATGGGGAAGATGCTGGCCTGGATAATTCTGATGGGAATCCTAGTGGAAATGGAGCAGATGAGAATGAAGACAAGGGCTCTGGTGACAATGAAGGTGGGGAAGCAAATACTAAGGAAGAGAGCAGTGATCACAGCAAGGGCCAGGAAGGACAGGCTCAGGGAAAAAAAGAAGAGAAAAGCACAGGTCAAAATTCAGTTGAAGACTGTGACTCTGAAGAGAAGGAAGATCTCAACAATAACACTGGTACAGATGATAGCTCTAACAGCGAAGAAGAGTCTGGTGGTATTCTAGAAGGCAATGGTAGCCAAACAGAGAACCCTCAAGAATCAAGTCACAGAGAAAGTAAAAGTGTGGGAAATGGAATCATTCAACAGTCAGGCCCAAGTACTATTGGAAAGAGTCAAGATAAGGTTGGTTTTAAACCCAATTTCTTTAAATGGCAGTTTAAATTTTTTTCTCCCCTTTGCAATGGGATCATAGAAATAAGCCATGATAAACATCCAGGTTTTTTCACCTATCTTGAATGAATATCTAATGAGAAAGCTAGAATCCTTATTGGATTTTGATATGGAACAACTTAAAAAATACTAGTCATTTCTGAATAATTGCTCTCAATGCTAGAAACATCTTGAGCTAAATAATGGTTCTATCATGGAACTGCTTTTTACAACATTTCATATCATATTTTAATTCTACACAATTAAAATTGCATAAAATTGTACACAATCATTTTCAACATCATGTAATTGTTTACAAAACTTTCTACTGGGTAGAAATGTGGATAAGTTGATCAAGAACTCAAACAACTAAATACTTTTAGGTCTTGACCATATTTTCACAAATCAGTGTTTATAAAGTATTGAAAGCTAGATTCCTGTTACCATGGCCACGCACCATGAAATTGTCCTCCTTAGACAAATGCAATTTTGCAGTAAATGTTCACTAATTGGTCATTCCTTTCTTCATTTTCCTTAGGGAATGAAAATGGACTCTCCCAACAATGAGGACAGAACTAATATTACCAAAACAGCTGGGGAAATACATGAACAGAGTAAAAGACAGAATGGTGGAATCATAGGAAGGGAAAACAACAAACCACAGGGACAAGCTGACAATTCAGAAAGGCCTGGCAAGAAGTCAGAACCTGGGAACAAGGCTGGACTTAGCAAGACAGATAGCAGCAGCAACAGTGACAGATATGATAGCTATGATTTTGATGATGAATCCATGCAAGGCGATGGCCCTGACAGCAGTGATGGATCGAAGGGAAGTGATGATGCCACTTCAGAAGGTGACAATGACAGCAGTAGTCAAGGAGATGCTACCTACCACTCAGATGAATCTGAAGATAATGGCAATGACAGTGACTCAAATGGAGGAGATGATGACAGCGATAGCACATCAGACGCTAATGATAGTGACAGTAATGGTGATGGTGACAGCGAGAGTGATGAAGATGAGTCAGAAAGCAGCCAAGGCAAATCAGAAAGTGGTGACAAGGATGACAGCAGTGACAGCAATGACAGCAGCGACAGCAGTGACAGCAGCGACAGCAGTGACAGCAGTGACAGTAGTGACAGCAGCAACAGCAGTGACAGCAGTGACAGCAGCGACAGCAGTGACAGTAGCGACAGCAGTGACAGCAGCGACAGCAGCGACAGTAGCGACAGCAGTGACAGCAGCGACAGCAGTGACAGCAGCGACAGCAGCAACAGCAGTGACAGCAGTGACAGCAGTGACAGTAGTGACAGTAGTGACAGCAGCGACAGTAGCGACAGCAGTGACAGCAAAGACAGTAGTGACAGCAGCGACAGCAGCAACAGCAGTGACAGCAGTGACAGCAAATCAGACAGCAGTGACAGCAGCGACAGCAGTGACAGTAGTGACAGCAGCGACAGTAGCGACAGCAGTGACAGCAAAGACAGTAGTGACAGCAGCGACAGTAATGACAGCAGCGATAGCAGTGACAGCAAATCAGACAGTAGTGACAGCAGCAACAGCAGTGACAGTAAATCAGACAGTAGTGACAGCAGCAACAGCAGTGACAGCAAATCAGACAGCAGTGACAGTAGTGACAGTAGTGACAGCAGCGACAGCAAATCAGAGAGTAGTGAAAGTAGTGACAGCAGTGACAGCAGCGATAGCAGTGACAGTAGTGACAGCAGTGAAAGCAAATCAGACAGCAGTGACAGCAGCGATAGCAGTGACAGTAGTGACAGTAGTGACAGCAGCGATAGCAGTGACAGTAGTGACAGCAGTGAAAGCAAATCAGACAGCAGTGACAGTAGCGATAGCAGTGACAGTAGTGACAGTAGTGACAGCAGTGACAGTAGTGACAGCAGTGACAGCAGCAACAGTAGTGACAGCAGTGACAGCAGCAACAGCAGTGACAGCAGTGATAGTGAAAGTAGTGATAGCAGTGACAGTAGTGACAGCAGTGACAGCAGTGACAGTGATGACAACAGTGATAGCAGCGATGACAGCAGTGACAGTGATGACAGCAGTGATAGCAGCGATGACAGTAGTGACAGCAGTGATAGCAGCAACAGTGATAGCAGTGATGACAGCAGTGACAGCAGTGACAGCGATGACAGTAATGACAGCAGTGACAGCGATGACAGTAGTGACAGCAGTGACAGCGATGACAGCAGTGACAGCAGTGACAGCAGCGATAGCAGCAACAGTGATAGCAGTGATGACAGCAGTGACAGCAGTGACAGCGATGACAGCAGTGACAGCAGTGACAGCGATGACAGTAGTGACAGCAGTGATGACAGCAATGACGATGGCAGTGACAGCAGTGACCATGGGGCTAGCACCTCTGACAGCAGTGATGAGGACGATGACCAGAGCAAGTCTGGAAATGGCCACAGCAATGGGAGTGACAGCGCCAGTGCCAGTGAGGGCAGTGACAGTAACCACTCAACGAGCGATGACTAGAACAAAAACCCATGGATTCTTTGTGTGAAAATTTAATAATTGTTAGGAAAGAAGATTCCCAGCAAACTAAAGGAAAGAAACAAGCAGAAGAGTTCCATAAACATTCAGCGACAAAATGAGGGGAATCACATCGAATGTTGGATCCAGAGCCAAGTTTCAAAGCCCCCAATACCGCAGTGCATGACCTTTGGTAGATACAATACTAAGTGATCTTCATCTTCTGAAAATATTTTGTTCAAAGTGTAAATCTAAACATCAGAACAATTAAAACACTCTTTAATACTTCACACAGAAACCTCAACAAGTCACGTACTACATGATAAACTATTTAAACACTAAGGTGCTTTAGAGCAAAAAGGAAGCAAAATCTGCCTTAAGCTTCTGCTAGTTCTGTGTTTCCCACCATGGTGCTGACTTCAGTTCTCTAAAACTCAGTTTGGCCACTGATGTAGCTGCTTGTTCTAGGGAAGAAATACATTTGTAACACAAAATCCTCCTACAGCATCAATGCAGCTAATCAAGGCAAGGGAATAGTGTTTTTTAAGAGACAAATAGATTAATTTCAAGTTAAAATTTTGGAAGTTCTGAAGAATACTGCTCAAAAAGGTGCTCAGAAGATGGCCCAGGCAAAATAGGATGCGTGAAATTACATTTCTGAAAACCACTGAAATTAAATACCAAGTCCCTACAGCTATTGAATAAAACATCATGCAGTACTTAGAACAATGTTTTGCTTCCAGGAGCCACTCTCTAAATATGTAGTTAAGCAAATACATGACCAATTAATTCTGCAAGGTAGAGTCAACTTTTGAAGTCTACATAGAGAACAGCTAGTTTTCATAGCATTCTCAACACCTGAGATGTGGTTCCCATTTTCCTTTTAAACTTTAGCATGCCTCAACTTTCATACCAGACCCAGACACTTTACTTTCATGATTAATCTCTTTAATAAAGCCAGAGTTGTGGTGGGTAGTGTTTTGGAAATTTTACCTTTCTTACGTGAAAGTAATATATACAGTTAAGAGCTGAGAATAGATTATCCATTCTGAGTCTTTTCAAACTTGAGATGAAGCCCAAACTCTGGGGAATTAGGATCTTAACATTTTATAAGAATGGATTCCCTGTGATAGAATAGATTTACCATTTATAATCCACACTAAGGGCACTGTGAGAATGATCACGAGATCCAGACAGGAAAAACAAATTAGGGTTGTCCCAGAGAAATTGAGGGAAACTGCCTTGGTAATAATTTTCAAGATTTACTAGTGATATGCTGTAATTCTCCCCTTTTTCTACTTAAGCAATTATATTCAATTTATTCTACTGTGAAGCTAAAATCTGTGAAGAAGGTATAAATGCTAACTTCTTTAACAGTATGTACAACCAATTTTCACATGACAATGTATCTTAATAGTAGACATAAATTACACAAAATTACCTTGGAGCTTCACTTTCTTATCTTCTTCTTTATGTAAAGGTGTCTGGAACAAAATTGCAAGAAATTTTCCCAAAGGCTTTAAAAGATGCTGCTATTCACAAACTACTTTGAAACTGCAAATATTGTATTATGTTAGGTTTGATTATCCTATAGTCAGATAATAAGTCCAAAACCTTTGCCTTAAAATATGCATTAGATTTTAAATTGTTAAAGAACAAGACTTTTTGTTTTGTTTTAATTTGGAAAAATGCACCTTCTAGATCCTGTCATATTTATCTCAAAAGGTAATGATGAACTCTGAGCTGGCAATGGTTTTGGTACTCTGTAAACTATACAAGATATGTAAATGAGCAAGATAATGAATTTCAAGGTCTAATAAACATTTATATATAAAATTGCTCACAAGGAAAATTCTTTTCTTAATAATATAATGCATAATATCCATTTCTTTTCAAATCACTACTTTTAGGGGTTGGGAAGGTGGCTCAGTGGTAGAATGCTTGCCTTGTATGCCTGAGGCCTGGTTTTGATTCCTCAGCACCACATAAGCAGAAAAGGCATGATGTGGTGCTGTGGCTCTAGTGGTAGAGCGCTAACCTTGAGCTGAAGAGCTGAAGGACAGCACTGAGGCCCACAGTTCAGGCTCCACGACCGACAAAAAAATTACTTTTAATTGAAAAAGTAATATTGTATATACAAAATATAAACATACAAACACTTCTTTTGGTGTCTGTTCTGGGGTTTGAACTCAGGGCCTGGGCACTGTCTCTGAACATTTTTTTTGCTCAAGATGGGTACTCTACCACTTGGACCACAGCTCCACTTCTGGCTTTTTGGTAGCTAATTGGAGGGCTGGGTTAGCTTTAAACCAAGATCCTCAGATCTCAGCCTCCGGAGTAGGTAGGATTACAAGCTTGAGGCACCAATGCCCAATACCTCAAATACATTTCAGAGGTGCAAATATACAGATTTCCAGCCCTCTGCCTTTCCCTTTCCAGAGGCAATTCCTACTATCAATAGTACTATCTTCTGGAACTTTCTACAACTATTCTGTTCACATGCATATTCATCTTTTGAAAACAAATGGAAATCTACTATATGAAATACTCATCTTACTTTTTTCACTTGAATAATACAGAACATTGACTTACAACTCATAGATCAATCTTGATCTTTTTCATAACTATCTTTAACTTCATTTATGAAGAGCTATATACATTATTTAGTCATGTTTGATGTTCTGTCAGTTCTTTTTAAGCCATTTCTAGTCCAATAAGTGTATGTAAATGTCACCTGAGATACTAGCCTAACTCAGATAGACTTCTAGCTGGTTCTTAGACATTTCCTTACAAACTATTTCTTGTGGGGCAGCCTGTTCCTGTTCTGACAGCATGACCTAGAACTGATGTCAAAAATCATGAAGGGAGACTATGATCCTCATTTTCTTTTATAATCACATCTGCACTGACTCCTGAACTCTGAAGACAAGAATAGAACAGAACAGGCTAGCAGTGAGATGATTATTTTCAGCTATATTTTGAAATAAAGATTAATGAATTATCTCTCACAGGAGCAATACTCTATTGCTCATAGGAACAGAATTTTTTAAGCTCCAAGTTGCCAATCACTGAGCAGCTCATTGACATTTTGTAAAATGAGAAAAGAAGAAAGAAAACTCACTGTATCTATCATAGTGGTATGTGGTAAAACTCAATTCTTTCTATATACACATTTATATACAATTATTATGCATATATAGGACATGATGTAAAATAACTTCTTGTGTTCGTTTCAGTGGAAAAGTTTGAAAGCCGTTAGTTTAGTAATACATTACTGGTAGTCATTGTTTTATATTTTAAATTTTTTCACCTCAAAACCATTTATTTTCCTCCTTTTCTTTTGTTGTTAGTCATGGAGGCTAACCTCAGCTCTTCAGCTCAAGGCTAGCACCCTACCACTTCCAGCTTTTTTCTGCTTATGTGGTACTGAAAAATCAAACCCAGGGCGTCATGCACGTGGGGCAAGCACTCTCCACTGAGCCAGCTTCCCAGCCCCTGTTTTCCTCCTCTTTAAAGTAGAGATTTAAAAGAAGAAGGAAGTGAGGATAGGGAAATACGGTGTGAGTACAGAGAACAGGCAAAAGTGCTAGTTATTTGGGTGTGAGGTACTGAAATTTGTAAGGGGGTGGGGAACAAAACAGGTAACATTGTCACTTTTATCAAGTGGCTCTGTTGACTGTGCTGATGGATTTGCTGGGAACTAGAACTTTCTGATTGCATGAGTTAGTCCATGTATGACTGAAGATCTTAAAACTGGTTCTCAGAGTTTTCTTCTCTTTACCCACCTAAGAATTCCTTTTATATCTGGTCAGAGCCCCAAAACATGAAACAATGTGACTTTCTATTGGTGGTAGTGGTGCTGCTGCTGCTGTTATTTAAAAATCTCCTTACATGGAATGACAATCTTTGTGGAATCATACCTCACCATATAAATACAGTTTAAATTATTAACTTGAGGGAAAATTCCCAGAGGTCAAACTTGCTTTATGGTTTAGAAGGGAAGTTTTGAAAAATCTGTGGACCAAAATAACTATTTCTCCTTTCCCTAAAAGGAGCAGGAACACTAAACTAAACCAGTGTAGCCACAGATAGAAATACCACTGTGGTCTCATAGCCAAACCATTCTTTGGAAAGCAAATCCTCTAGAGAATGGAGCAAGTCAGCTACACAATGTTCTCAACTTCTACCACTGAACAGGGATAGTGGATTCAGATGCTGGAAGGATAAGGAATTCCTCTGAGGAATTCAGTAGCTCAGAAAACTGTCAGAAAGTGGAACTATCCCCAATATGTTTGCTTTAGCTTGCACAGCTCCAGCTCCAGCATGAAACGTTATAGTGGCACAGTTTTGTATTAGGCTGCTTCTTTTCTTCCCCTACACCTATTATTCTGGGATTTGCCACTGCCTCTATTCGCACTCCTTTTCATAGATGATGACAAGGAAAAAAATGCTTGTTCTTTGAAGAATTAAATTCCCAGGCATCTCCTTGTCTGAGAACCTAGGCAAACGCCCTTGGAGTTTTACATGGTCTTGGGTTTCAGACTAAACTTGCTGGTACCCCTACCTTCCTGATACTTTCCTCTGTTGAAAACACTGAATCAGTCATGGCTTAACTCCATTTCTACATTTTGAGATCAATCTGCATAGGCTGTGCCAGACCCACACTCAGACATGGCACATAACATTCATTCTCTATGTTATAATAATAGTCTGATGGTGATAAATGGGCTCTGATGTTTATCTCAAATGCCAGTCCTATTGCACTGGGCTTCAATGTTGCTTCCTTTTCCTGTTCTCTATCAGAATATTCTCAGCTTGACCAGCTTGAGAATACCAGCAACAAAATTGTTCAACACTACTGAGTTTTATCTCCCCAAAGGAACGACAGAGTCCACACACCAGAACCGCCATGAGAAGTCTCAGCAAAGGAAAAGAGAATTATTGTAGGATTGAGGGTAAGGACTGGATTTAGGAAATGTTTAAATGAAGCAGTGTTTGGGAAT